TCTATGTAACTGGAATTACAACATCCAGAACAGATTGTCAGCCACCACGAGGACTCTTCGCGGCTGACGGATTAACATTAGCGTGTACTAAGGAAGCCCCCAGCTTCGCAGAGCTGTGCAGACACATTGAATACGGGAAAGGCGGAACTTGCCTAACTGGTGAGCCGCAACGGCAGGCGGAGATGTGCCAGTGCTGACGGGCGTGGTGGGTGACTGTGAGAATCCCTGGGGATAGCTGACATTGTAGGGCATTGACGGCTCCGGCAGGGGTTGGAATGAAGCACAACTGTTTGAACTGGACCGCATACCGTTAGTGGGTGAGGCCGACGGAGCAGATGTCAGGCAGGGATATTCACTGTGTCGAGGCACCAGGACCGGGGGAAGGACTGTCAGGTGTACAAACAAGAAGACAGAGTAAATACCGGCAACGTCTCGTCCAACACAGCAGCAGACAACCCGTGCGTCCAATCCGCGCAAGATTTTAACTAAGTTATCTAGAATCTGCACGCAGCCAGAGGTGGAAACGTTTCACGTCTAAAGAGACGCTGAAACGAAACAAATAGTAACAATGACCAGTTTAAGATTTGCTCTTTCAGCATAAATCACTACTTAGGTGTGGCGGACAAATTATTTCTCTCATGGCATCAAGTATTGCAACGTGGAAGGGCCGGGATCAGTTTACGCCTCAACCTAGGTCTAGGCACTACACTCATTCAGGTGGGGCTAACTTGTATTTGCCACTGCTGGGCACCTCTGGTCTAACCGACCACAAGGACGCGAAGTTTCAACGCACGATGGTAAGTTGCAGTCCATAAGAAACACCCGACCAGCTTCCTTCTCCTGTGACGAAGAATGAATACCAAAGGTTCATCAATGACTTCCACATATGTGAGAGGGCGAATCTCGGATTCTCACTTGAACCCACCATCAGAGACAGTCACAGATAAGAGTGATGGGCGCAGAGGGGGTGTAGTCATAGGCGATGAAACCGGGGACTGCTAATGATGACAGGTATGTAGTTGCATGGCAACTACATCCTGTAAATGCTTCGACCCTCGTGAGTCCATCATCTTTATCTGTGATTGTCCCTGCTGATGAGTTCGAGTGAGAAACCGAAACATCACGCGGATAAAATTCTTGTTCCAGACATCACACTTGCTTCTTTTCAACTGCTTCCTGGAAAACACCTTTTTCGTTTTCACCAACGTCCTCTCTAATCTGTCCAATCGGTAGCAACGTCCTACAAAGGCATTTGGAACTGCTCACTTATCCGTCAGGACTCAATAAGCAATGGGCTTTGGTTATCAAGACGACTTTTGTTGACACCCCGTTCGACCTCAATAAACGCAACGGGAACTCGTGATGAACAGAAACGAAAGTTAAGGTGAAATCAACAAAGCAGACGACCGTCGATTGCTGGCAGTCATGACGGCACTTGAGTATGTGCTGCAATGCGCATGTCAGTCCGGAGTATCGACACTAGTTCGGAACCGACGCGGTCGAATCCCCGCCGTGAATAGCACATAGTCTAGAGATATTTCCAGTAATGTGAATTTCGCCACAATGATTTTCGCGTTCCGTTTTATTGAGTTTCTTTTAATACAGGCTGATCTAAGAGCTGTTATCACCTCCCCATGCTTGTCGAGTCACCTCACGGACCCAGAGTGTCAGTACCCGCACAAGATTTGAGGAATTAAGCAGTTGGGATGCTGCTGCGCAGCCTAGGGATTGCGATTTGGATTTTTTGCTGCGGTATAGACTGGAAAGGGATGAACCACCCCTCACGCAGAGAAGGCGATACTGAAAAGCATGAGGATGCTCGAAGTGCTCACAAGTCGGAGTTCGAACTTGGCCGAACTGCCAGCGACAAAGTTTCCACCGACGTTGTCAAAGGAATTCCTGTTCTACACTGGCAACTGACGTGGCGAGCTATTTAGCAGATTTTTGAACTGTAGTTGACGTTTGAGGCCCGCTCAGTAGAAGCCGCGACTTTGGTCAAGCACTTTTTGGCCATCTGCAGCCGGCTGAGTGATTTTCCAAAGTTGACGGAGGGAGGCATCACTGCAGGGTCTGGAACTAAATCCTTAAACCAAGAACTGCCCTGCCAACACAGCTCCGTGGTCTCAACTACTTCCTGACGTTCGTCTTTTCGCCTATATCAGCGGTATCCGCACGCTTTAGCGTTAGTCCTGACAAAATCCGGACAATCCCCTTGCGTGTCACTTCTGTGAGAAAAGGAGTAGATTAAGGGACGTCTCGTGTCCGTCCCAAAAGAAAATGATATCCAGGAGAACAGCCTTTCACCAGCGCACGTCCGTTTTTGGCCACGGCCTTCGAATTTAACAGGAGAAAGTGTGGGATTCATCTGGCTCCCGAATGCGAATGTGCACGCACAGACGCAGAACGTTTTCTAATTCGGCTCTTTTGGTCTCACATAATTATTTTTCAACAGGAACAGTGCCCACAGCTTACGCAAATTGCTCCTCATAACAACAGGGGCTGTGTTTGAGGGGTGTAACGGGCTCCCATTGATTCAGTCGCTGCGTCGCCGCACGGTGAATGTTGAATATCAGTTCCTGTCATCTACTTCAACTCAGGTTGGGGAGCAAAACGCGATTCCCCTGAACTGAGTCTTGGCTGCGCTGGACATCTTAAAGGAGGCTCTTTGGGCACAGATAAGTCGAGAACTTTCAGACGTCCACTTGTGTGAACGGCAACCGCAGTCTGACCCGTAGGTGTTAGCGGTTTCAGCACCACGTACCGGCCTGCTGTCCCGCACCAAGCAACGGAATCTTAGAGGGTAGTCAGTCTGACCATATGTATGCCCACTGTCGGAGTTCCAGGTTAGCTAGTGCTTGCATTGATTGTTGATAGAAAACATTTCTGATCAGCAAAGCTCAGCATTCCATCTTTGTTGGCGCATGTAGAGCTATAGGGGATTATAGCTCAAAACTTGGGAATAAAGGAAGTAATTCCGGTTTAAAAAAAATCGCAATTTAGGGGTTTTGAGGCGTTTGTTTGGCTATTTACGTAGTTTACTGCCCACAGGTTTCCACTGTCTGCTTCCGAAACCAGCAAAGCGTCCTCAACATGCTCCAAAGTTTCGAGTGTCAAGTTGACCTTATCATACGAACTTGATAGACAAGTAACTTTGAGACCGGAAGATCATGTGAGAACTGAGGACATACCTCCAAACCAATGGAATTTCGGAGCCTTTTTGAAGTCCAAAATACTCCCTTTCAAGAAGAAGTGGCTTCTTATAAAAGGACCTTTTGTGGTCCTACTTAAATCCATTTTTCTGAAGCCGGGTATTGACTTTATGCATGCGGAAAAAATCGACGAAAGAGCACTTGGCATCACGTTTAACGCTCATCAGTAATTTAACCTTTTTGAAGTAATATTTCCTTCATGGCTTGCAAGCTCAAACTTGCATTCACCATGCACGACGTCCGTTTGATTGCTCCCGAGTCTGTATTTTTTGTCAAAACTGAGGACTTGAAGAGGATGGGTCCACAGGAACGGATTTATTTAGATGTTGACGTTTTAAAGAGCTTAGTCGGCTCTCCATTGTCAAATCCTGAAGTGCACTTAATCGACCAGAAAGCCCAAGTAGCATGTCATGTTGGTCGGCCTCGTGTTGGTCGATTTTCCTCTCCTCGCGCTGCCTCGACCTCTCGGGGGATGGTTGATGGGTGTTTTGTCTGTGTGCTTTGTGAGTTACCACTCCGTCGGGGGGAGGTGATTGAACTTGTGTCGGGTGGTCGTTCTGACGGTTCTTGTTCGTCCTTACCGAGTACACTCGCCGTCGGGCTGTCTTCGTATGGCCTTCTTGAGTCCGGTGTAGTTTTTTGGTCCTGCGCTCTATGATTGTGATGATGTAGGACTTTGTAAGCTGCAGGAAGGTCCAGGTGCCCGTTGATGGAGTGGGCATCGGAGAACCACGCCTCGAGAGCTAGCCGTTCTGCTTTCGTGTTGCCCACTTCGGATTCCTGGTCAATTAAGTGCACTTCATGCTTTGACAATGCAGAGCCGATCAAGCTCTTCGAAACGTCAGCATCTAAATAAACCCGTTCCAGTGAGCCCATCTTCTTCTTTAAATCACCAACCCGGATCTCTCAACTTTGCCAATCAAAACTGGGGACGGACAACAATTGGGCAACAGACAGGCAAAAGGAGAAGTACGAGTACGATGACGGAAGCGATTGGCATCCTGACATGATCATGCAGCACCGATACAAAAAAAAACAAACAATCTGCAATTGAGACTAAAATATTTATGGCACAGGACTCACAGGTAAGAGGCTGGGGTAGACGGACCGACCGCCTTATCAAAAGCAAACTTGGATGAGATTAACCTGTGTTTAGTTTTAAGCATTTTAGTGAGAGGATATAGTCGATCTAATACACATTTTAACTGCCCGAAGTGATAATTTGTGGTTGTTACGTTTATGATATGTCCTCGTTATACAATGACTTTGAAGAGGCAGAAATTAACGGCTTGCACACAAAATTCAGAATGGGTAGTAAAAATGCATATAACCAACGTAAATGAACTCGGCCACGTTAACTAATTATACGAATGACTTCAATTATTGAACTTTTCTCATATTCATATTTTACTCTGGGTGCATGCAGAGACTGCGATCGCATAAATAAGCGACTAAATAAACCACGACCCAGTAAAGAAACTGTGTAGGTAACTTCAAAAAATGCATTTTTCCATTTTCGCTAAATTGGCTACCCTATTTCAGACGTCTAAGGGTGGCATAATTGCTTTTTATTACAGCTAACATTTCGAGAGGGAGCGTGGGGTCGAGACTCAAAAGCAGTTGGTCGCCTAAAGTTGCAAATATAACCAGAGCCACCATCGGAATAAGCCAAATGTGGCTTCTGCAGATGACACTTCCTCACGCCCACTTACCAGTACGCCTACAAGGAAACGACGGCGAAAGGCTAGTCATAAGTCTACGAAAGATAAGAAGAAGAAGCGACAGTACTGGATGATATATTCTCAACAAGACATAATCCAGCGGCTTACTGACCTTTGCACTAAGGTCGACAATTTGGACGCCCATATTAGGAGTCTTGTCGCCGCCTCCACACCGCTTCCCGTTGAGGAAGGTCCGGCATGGCAACAGGTCAGTTCGCTGGCCGCCTACGACCGATTGTGTGCGGCTTTGTCAGATACCCAATACCGCCGTCGATTGGTAACTTATTTATTATCTATAAACACTTTACACAGATATGCTACTTATCTGGAGCTGGAGGTGAGAATACGCCAGCATTTGCTGGTCGCATTTTCACCACCCTATTCACCGAAGACGTAACAGAGTTTCTGACCTTCTACGGGAAGAAACCAGGAAGTAGAGCATTTTTTGGTTCACCAATCTACGACCTTATACTCGGTAAGAATTTAAATTCATGTACATTATGCATTTTCCCTACTAGACGTCTTCAGTAAATGGTGTGTAAGCCATTCATCCGACAGACAAAAACTAGAAGAGGCATTTAAAAACGTCTTCAAAAGGGCTCACGACAGACAACAGCGAAAATGCAACAAAGCATCAATTAGCGGACTGCAGAACGGTAATATATATACTTGCATTATTAATTTGTCTGCTTAATTAACTTTAATGCAGAATAATACCACAATTACATGTTCTAACTGTTCTGCGTTATCTTCCTTTCAGATGCCCAACCGCCGGAAGACCTTGAGAGGACGCAGACTGATAATCAATGACAATTGTATTTTTGTATATTTTAAACACAGATTTTTAACTATTTT